GAAGAACAGAGGCGTTTAGTTTCTTTTGTGTTTCTGTTTCCACCTGTGGCATTGGCGTGGCAATTGCTTTTGCTGAGAAGCCAGCACGATTTCGAAATGGCGGAAGACCGCGCCCTAAATTCATATTTTCATTACCAAGAAAAGTGCTGGCCCTAACCAAGTCCCCAATGAATTTTTGTACAGGTATGCCAGTCAGGTTGCAAAGTTTTGTGCCTCCTCTTTCGAACATCTCTTAGTACTGGACACTTCCTGTCTGAATGAAACTGCGTGCAGATCACACCCATGAGCAATTCTGGCTGTAAGTCTGATACTAAAAACTACTGGCTTATACCTGCAATTTCTATTAGTCATTTAACATTTAATAGAAATAGCACTTGGAATAAGAGATGTAAACTATTTGGTAAGCATTCATTCTAAAAGACAGGGCAGGCAAACATGGACACAAGAAAGAAGTCAATACACCAGAGATGCCCACCAACAACTGAAGAAGTGCGCAACGGCGTAAAGGAAAGAAGGTACGAAAATGTAATATAAGCTAGCATATCAATCTGGCATGCGTCTGGGTCTGCGTGAAAGAAGGTTAAATTTTAACTTCATTTTCCTCGGACCCAAGAAGGGAATTGCAGGTCAAATAATTGATAATTCTTCTTGAAGATTTATTTAGGATGAACATTTGAAAATAGGCAAAATTACTCATTTTTACAAGTTACATTGAAATAAAGTTTAGTTTACACAGCTGTTTTCTGCAATCAAGACCATAAATTATGCATAAAAATAGATTACAACTTCATTGGAGAGCATTGCTACTCGAAATAAGTACAAAAATAAGCTATCAAAAATTTTATTTACGCACTGCAAAGGCAAAAAGGTTGAAGTTCCTGCGAAACATCGTTTTCAAACCCACTGTGCATCACAAATGCTCGATGTGAAGCACCATCTCATTGAGTAGTGCCTTTCACAGAAGAAATTCAAGTTCAAGGCAAAAAAAAATCTGCTTCAGAATTAACTGGGCTAGCTCGAAGCAATGACCCTAATTGACCCACAGGGAAACTATGCAAGTTATTCGACAGTTGACTCATGCGTGTGCTGCCACTGTTATCGATATGCTATGCCTCAGTCATTAAATATAAATAGTGCACGCTTAAAGAACCGATTCTCGTGGCCTGACATATTGTGGGCTTAGATTCTTTTAAATATCACAATAAAGTGCCATGCCTCATGTTCAAAAAATTGGTGTTTTCATAAATGCCTCTGTAGTGCTGTGCTTTTGCTTATACATGCATGAATGCCTTAAATTTGTGCGTTTGTGAGACGGAGAATGAAGCATGAACTTTTCAGTTCTTATGTTTTATGTGTTGCATGTCTTGTCATGCTAGATTCGTTCAAGTATGTACCAACTCTCCCAAGACAACTTATTATCATGAACACTATTATTTCAGGAGTTACTCAAAAGCACGTCTTGGTGCCTCTTCCGAAACGACCTACCTTGCAGTCTTACAGTGCCCGTGAGACTATATCTGCAAATCATTGCATATCATACAAGGAAATCAAACTTATCTAGACCAAGTTGAACTTAATGCCAATCTGCAAAAATATCGCACATTAGCGTGATACCTGACAAAAAGAATTAAATATAAAAACAGTCTAAATGTATGTTTCAAACACATAAAAAGCTTCTTCTCAATTGTGAGTATTTTGTTGACAACCACATCCTATCCTATTTAATAAATGAAAAAATAAAATAAATACCAGACAAATGGTACTGAATATAAATAAAACAGTGTACTGTAAATGTGCACTTCAAACACTAAATAATATTCCCAGTTATCAGTATTCTATTGGCAGCTGCATCCTATCAAATACAGAAAAACAATTTGGGGCTCGCATAAAGAGTGCAAAGACTTGCTTTGAGGTTCCTTTTTTTTTTTTTTGAGGTTCCTTTTTGGGTGCTGGTGTTGGTCCCCATCATAGTTTTGCACACTTGCAGACTTTTACTCGAGCTCAGAAGTTATGAAAGACAAAGTTCTTCCATCAAGTTATTTATAAATCAGCAAAGTGATCACAATAAATACTTTCAAATGATGAAACTTCCCAACATCCTCACAGTATATTCATTCTACCCCCATTTACCTGGAATCATTGCTTTGAGAATAGTTCTTTTTTTGCCTAGAACCATTTAAGAGTGGGAATCATTGCCTGAAAACGTAAAAACCATGTTACACATATTTCTGGCCAAAATAATGATGTCATACAACATGGTGTTGTTTAGTTATCTGATTCTTTTCTATGTGTTCTGATTTTGTAAGTTCTAATTACTGCTGTTTTGTTTTTTCTCTTTTGTTACCATATTAACTGTATCCCAGAGAATCTTGTATTGGTGACCCGTATGAACATGATTATACTTTTTTGTAGTGCATTTCTTTCCAAATAAATAGTTTATTTGTGTATGAACATCAAAATCATGGTATTATGACACTGTATTTTACACTTCTGTAATAACAAGGCTGACACTATTAAATAAATGAATGAGTATAAACTGCTTACTTGCTGTACTGGTGCAATAAAATTTCTGTTAACTTCTCTATATACTGTTAGATCATTTTCCTGTCCCAGTACTAGTTACATCTGATAGATAAAATGTTATCATACAAAATGTAATTAATATAAACTATCCAAATTTAATTCACTATATAGTAAGAATTGCTTTTCTGCACCAATGCCTACTGCATCTGATAATAGATGCTTTGGGCAAAGCTGCAAGTTGCAAAACTTTTAAGGAAAAATAGTTTCAAGATATCATAACGTCCTTGTAATAATGTGAACTATATAGAAATTTGCTGTTAATTTGCTACATTGTGATTTATTATTTTTCTGTGCCAATACCTACAGGTCATAATGGATGCTTTGATTAAACCTGCAAAATATAAAACTTTTCAAGGTAAGATGCATTTTGAAAATATCTTTACACCAATGTAGTGAATATAAGTTATATTGAAATTTGCTGTTATTTATTTTATATTGCCATTACATTATTTTTCGTGGCCAATACTTGCTAAATCTGATAATAGAGGCTTTGGGCAAAGCTTCAGGTTGCAACAGTTTTAAAAGTAAAATACAGTTTTCAGATATCATCACGCAAATGTACTTAAACATTTGCTGCTAACTTCGCTATGTTGTGTTTCAGTTACTTTTCTGCCAGGGCATTGTCATTTTCAAAGGTCAGGGTATTGTCATTTTCATTTACTGCGACTTTTTCAAATTTCAGAGTAATGCCTACAATGCCCTGGCTATCTTAAGAACTCTCCTTAACCCCCTAGAACTTACATGCAAGCTCCCGTATGAGACTTGCGAGAAAGGCTGTATGACCTTTCTTATATTCTTTCTCTCTCTTCCCATGTGCGACTTCATATCCTTGACGTGTTCTTCCTCTTTAGCAGCGATCACATTTGTTGGCTATACCAATTTTCGGGTAATAAACCTTTTCTCCCATTCAACTTGGCACTCTCAAAACTGGTTAGACAGGGTGTTGTAAACCTCAGCTTGACCAATGTGCTCAAACGGCCATGTCTTCGTAAACTGCCAGAAGCGTTAAGACAACAAGGGAAGTTGCTGCAGACTACCCTGACCATGTAATTGATTCTGTGGCAGAGAGAATGCCCAGAACATGCAGTGAGGGACAGCAAACCCAAAAAGTATTTACATGGTCATCACATGTGGAGAAGTCTAGCCCAGAAGTCACTTCCAATTTATACCGTTGTGATGCTCAATGTGCATATTCCTCCTGTGCTGTATGCCTGTAAAGTTCAATCACCAAGTCCAGATGAATGATATTGTGTACGCTGTAGCACAAGGCACACTCAGACATGGATATGCAGTGTCATATTCCCATCTTTTGTGTGCGGGATCACAATTTTTTTATGCACAAATAATATATTGTGAAAATTTAGCGCAGTTCCGTAAATGCAAAAACCAAAGCCACACCGCCGCTTGCTCGTAAAAGAATGGCAGTTCCACGGCCGCGCGATTGTTTGACTGTAACAGATGCATTCCACTCCGAGTAGATTATCAGCCAGCCCTCCTGATTTCTTGGTTCATTTTAGTGGAATGAGCATGTCCAGAGGACATCTTAAAAACCAACCTGTTTGATGTGGGATGTTTGGACTTTCTTGGGATGTCCCTGGGATGTAGTCTGTTATCTGGGCTAGTGTGCACTGATATTGAGGAAATTTGACGCAGTTCCGTAAATGTAAAAAGCCGCCGTCGTTTTCGCGCAGAACAATCGCAGTTCCACGGCCGCGCGATCGTTTGACAATAGCAGATGTATTCCACACTCGCAGAAAATGTCCGGGCAGCGCGCGCGTAGCTGTGCCGCGACAGGAAGCAACAAAAGTATTCTCGGCGCGTCGCACAACCACGGCGGCCCCGGAAGAGGCTCCCCGGGAAGGTTACGTCAGTTGCGGAGCGGTACGACATCGACGAAGGACGCGTACGTAATTTGGCTACCACCAAGCTCTCGCTGGCCGTGTGCAGACGCGACCTTCGCTCGCCAGAGGAGCCGCCCGACAACGCGAAGACAACGATCACACTGGGAGACGGGTTCCGCGTGTGGGCAAGCAGCTGTTCGCGAAACGAGCGAGGGGGGGCGTGGTCGCCGCTAGCAGACGCGCCCGCCGTCGAAACGACAGGCGATCCACGTCGCGCGGCTCCGAGTCGTCGTTCTATTCCACGGTGCGGCGGCGTAATCTTCTCAAGTACCTCTGACATTTGATGTGCACACAAAAGCCGGGGTGGTTGTCTGACCCGCGCGCTCCTCGCCGCGTGCACCCCTCACCGAAGCACTCGAGACTTGTATGTTTTCTTTTGGACAGCCAATCAAGGAACACGGAGCGGTGCGCGCGCTCGTCGGAACCGTCTGAGCCAAGTTTAGGATGGTTCGGATGGAGCGTGACTGATCGTCGGAATCGAGTTTAGGAACGAAGCGTGACTGAGCGTATGCTTACCTGGACTGCCGGGAGCCGTGTCGTAGTGACAGTTGACGAGCAAGGAATGCCTCTGATCGACCGCCGGATGCTCCCTCGGTGAGAGCCGGGCGATCACATTTTGTATTCCGCGGTAGCTGGAGGTGAAACCGTCGATGAAGTCTAGAAAGAAGGACCCGTTTGGCTTCTGCACCTCAAACTCGAGCCGGTGCGCGGGCCGCGCCCGTTCCCTGAGCTGTTCCAACTCGCGCATGAGGTAGTCCACGGCGATCACTTCGTTCTCGAGGCTCCCGACGGAGCGCTGGCCGATGGCGACGAGTTTGGCGAGCCTCTGCTTCGCCCTGGCACCCACAAACACGCGTCCTTCATCGGCGGGGTCCGACGAAACGGCGTCAGGCAAGGACACCTGTAGGCTACGCACCAGCAACGTCGTCGCGAGGTAGAACGCCAGAAGGAACGCGTAGAACGTCTCGCCGAGCAGCCGCTTTTCGTGCCTGGATAGCGGTTGCCGCTGTCCGTTGGCTTGCGTCGTGACGTAGCTGACGCCGTCCTGGAGGACTCCGTTCCAGGGCGGCTGGTGAACGCCGTTGGTGCCTTTCTGGCGGTAACGAAGCGAGCCGTCCCGCGCATCGCACGCCATCGCGACGACGTCGTTCGATTCTCGATGCCGAACACCGCCGTCGCGCGCCGAGTGTCGGCACGTGACCGCCCTTCCCGCGTGTGCGCTCTCGGCTGTGCTGTGCCTCCGTTTCCCGTTCCGATGCGACCGCTTGGCGGCGGTGGTGTTGTAGATGCGTCACGTGACTGCTTTAACGGGCAGCGATTGGCGAGAGCGCCGATTATACCGTTACTCGGCCTGCCACGCGCGTAAATTCGAAGCGCCACGGTGTTCCGTACTCGCAATGGAAAAAAACAAACTAGGAGGCTCACTAGTAAATATACGGTTGGCAGTGCTAGCCGTATGACAACAAATAGCGTCGAGAGACAACAAGGAGGGAGGCATTTTATGATGACTCGAAGCTCTTTGCTGTTTGTCGCGAGGTCGGGTCGCCCAAGAGCGCGCAGTTATAAAGCGAGATTCAGTATAAATAATGCACGTGCTGTGAGAAAGATAATAAAACGATGGAGCTAACTTATTTCAACTATCTTATAATTCGTTAATAATACAATTGATATGCAATCACATTTATAAATTATTTGTTTCTTTCCCAATCTCCCAGAGTGGGTGTAATTGATTGATATGTGGGGTTTAACGTCCCAAGACTACCATATTATTATGAGAGACGCCGTATTGGAGGGCTCCGGAGGTTTCGACCACCTGGGGTTCTTTAACGTTCACCCAAATCTGAGCACACGGGCCTACAACATTTCCGCCTCCATCGGAAATGCAGCCGCCGCAGCCGGGATTCGAACCCGCGACCTGCGGGTCAGCAGCCGAGTAACTTAGCCACTACACTCTTAAAAAAGTTAATAAAAAGGTAGCAACTGCAAGCAAATAGGTAGTAACTGCAGTGGTTACTACCTTTTTTCGAATATTACTACCCTTTTGCTACCTGTTTATTTATTTATTTATTCATACTACAATCCCTATTACAGAGATTTTAGCAGGGTGGTTACAGATATAATTTTCACAATGTTGGCACTCAAGAATGCATAAACCAAACAAACAAACAAAAAATAGAACGGCATGATGTGAACAATCAGGTCAAATTTGCTGCAAACAACTTTAAGGACGGCTTCATCACTTGGTTATTAGTTAGTCCATTCCACTGAGTTACTGTACGAGGGAAAAAGGAATATTTGAAGCAGTTATTTTGGGACCGGAAAGGGGTTATTGTAAGTTGATGCCTTTGGCAGGTGGCGTACCCGGAAGAAAAGGAAATGATATTGGAAGCATCAAGCTTGTAATGCCTTTTAATTATTTGGTAGAGAAGTTGTAGTCGTATTAAACGATTTCTTTCGGTAACTGAAGGCTCATTGGCACGATGTAGGAGTTCAGTTATAGAGGTGCGTCCAAAGCTATTAAAGATAAAGCGGACTGCCTTTTTCTGCACGTTTTCCAATTTAGTTATGTTAGCTTTAGTGAAGGGGTCCCAAACAATCACTCCATATTCTAACACTGGGCGAATGATAGTCCTGTACGCTAGGGTACGCACCGTGGAATTAGAATGTTTTAGAGCTCTTCGAAGGAAGAATAGTTTTCGGTTAGCGTTTGTAATTACGGAGTCAATATGTTTAGTCCAGCTAAGGTCATTGGTAATCCAAAGGCCAAGATACTTAATGTTAGTTACCTCAGAAAGGGTGAAACTTGCTGTGGAATAATTAAATAGTAGGGGTTTTTTCTTGTGGGTTATTCGTATAAATACTGTTTTATCGAAGTTAATTGACATCTGCCATAAATCACACCACTTCGCAATGTTATAAAAGGCACTATTCAGAATGATTTGATCGGTTACATTGGATATTTCAGAATATATGACACAATCATCTGCATACAACTTGATTTTTACAGGAATTTCATTCACAATATCATTGATAAAAATTAAAAACAAAAGGGGTCCAAGAACCGTATCCTGTGGGACGCCAGAGTCAACGGTTGCCTCTTCTGAACAGAATTCATTAAAAACAACAAATTGTTTACGGTTTATAAGGTAGTCTGCTATCCATTTTATTAGGCGCGGATTTTTAAGTGTTTTCTCTAATTTGAAAAGTAATTTCTTGTGTGAGACTTTGTCAAACGCTTTTGAAAAGTCCATAAAGATGGCGTCAGTTTGTGTCCCATTGTTAATTGAAGTTGCGAAATCGTTAATTGTTTCGATAAGTTGAGTACAGGTTGAATAGCCTTTTCTGAATCCGTGCTGGTGTTTTGTTAAGATATTATGCTTACTAAGAAACTCAGAGATATGCGTATGTATTATGTGTTCTATAAGCTTAGAGGTAGTTGACGTTAATGAAATAGGACGATAATTCGAGATAAGTTGCTTTTTACCCGACTTATAAAGAGGCTAGACTCTGGCGGCCCTCCAATCATCTGGTACTCGACCTTCGTGTAGCGATTTTGAAAATAAAACATATAGATATTTGGCGATCCACTCGGCATAACGCTTTAAAAATGCGTTTGGAATGCTATCCGGTCCGGGTGTCTTTTTAACATTGAGTTTAAGTAGCATATTTAGAATGCCGTGCTCACTGATAACAACGTCAGGTATAGGTGGATAATCTGCATCAAATGAGGGAAGAACATTATTGTCAATGGTGAAAACCGATTTGAATTGTTGAATAAAGGCATTCGAAATAACCTTGCCATCATGCACGTCAACTCCATCAACTACAAAAACATTACATTCAGTAGATGTAAAAACTCTCAGGACACGTTTTAATGAAGTTTGGTAATGTTTCACCATAATACAGCTGTTTGTCAATTTGGATTCGGTGTTTTAGTTTAGTTGCAATTTCTGAAATCTCTTCGTTTATACCAGCGATATTCCCAAGACTACGACGCTTTTTTAATCGTTTTAACTTCCTTTTGAGATGCAACGTGTCCCGAGAAATCCAGGGGTTCCTTTCTTTCTTCTTTTTAACAACACATGGAACGAAGCGATCAATACATTCATTCACCAAATCTTTCAATGAGTTCCAGTGGCCTTGCACATCAGCAGTACTGTTTAAAAACGAGTCGAAGTTGAGGGAGAGGAGATCTGTAATTGATGTATCGTCAGCTCGCAAAAAATTTCGAAAACATGACGTTTTTTGTTTCCGTGCCATAGAGCCATTTGCCAGGGTCAACAGTACAGCACTGTGGTCAGAAATACCAGGAACCACTTCACAGGTGGCCGAAGACTTAATACATCCACTAACAAAAAAGAGATCAAGTACTGACTTCGAACTTCCCTGCACCCTAGTGAAATCGTGAACAACTTGTACCAAATCAAAAGTAAAAGCAACGTCGAGCATTGCTTCCCCTATGATATCGTTATGCTTAGTAGTTGAAAGAGAGGTCCAATCCATATCTGGTAAGTTGAAATCTCCTGATAAAATTATCCGAGCTCCTGACTTTGCATGAGTGCACAGATATTTTTTTAATTCATTGATGACTTCAATGGACGAGGTCGGGGGTCTGTATATGGAAGCTACAATATATTGAATATTATTGTGGTACATTTTGCAGAATAAGCCTTTCACTTGAGGAATATCTGGCATCCTAATTACTTTGAGACATTTTTTAAATACAACTGCAACGCCTCTTCCCTTACTTTCGCGATCTTTTCTTAGCACACTATAGCCAGGTGGAATTATTTCACTATCAAATATTGTACTATGCAACCATGTTTCTGTAAGTGTTATTAAGTCTGGATCATGAGTAAGAAGCAATAATTCTAATTCAGTTGCTTTGTTTACCACACTTCGGCAATTTACATTTAGGATTCTTAATGGTCCAGATACAGGATCACGACGTCAGTTTCCCTTCTTCTTTTGAAGTTTAAAGCGCGATTTTTCGGTTTCATTCCAACCATACAGGGTGTCATCAATGCTCAATTTGTCGTATATTAGCTTAACCTTTGCACCATTTCTCATTTCTTCAGCCGCGCTCTTCCACAAATTTCTTCGTACTTCCCGTACCCTGCTAGAGAAGTCCTCAGAAATAGACATCGTAGTTCCCTTTAGCTTAAATGCGTTCGTTAATACAGAAGTCTTTTCCCGATAATCTAGAAATTTTATGATTACTGGACGTGGCTTATTTCCAACCTTACGGCCAAGCCTATGGCATCTTTGAATGATGGATGTCGTTACCTCAAGGTTTTTCTGAAAAAATTCTGTTACTTCATTCAGTAGTTCCTCATTAGATTCTCTAGCAGGTTCTTCTATCCCATATATAATTAAGTTATTTCTGCGAGTTAACTGTTTACTACCTACGTTAGTAAACAGTTAGTAACTGAAATGAAAGACGTAGTAATTGCAGCCGTTACTACCTTTCTTGCCCCGTTACTGCCTCTTTGCTACCCGGCTTTTGACTATCTATTCCAATATAGTGTGTGAATGCGATTCTGATCATTTATGAGAAGAATCGTCTCGACGTATAATCATTACACGTAAAAATGACGCAGAAGGTATTCATAGATCAAGAAAATACATATTATTTAAATCACGCAATTGAGATATGTAAACGTCATTCTGATATTGTCGAAACGAAGAAGTACAAGAAGTACAATGAAGAAGTACAACCATAAGCAAGTGCTACACGTATCGTAATAGACAATCACAAGAAACTTAGTAAAAACAGCACATATTAACAAGACCGGCAGATCAAAATAACTAGGCGGTCACAATTAGCCTCAAGGACAGTCACAGTTAATCCACAGCGGCGTTTCTCCAAATGTTATTAATGTTTTAGCGCGTGAAACCCCCAAAACGATAATTACGTTTTAAATGCTGATATATTAGTCGTGTGAAGCATTCAAGTGCACTGCGAATCAGTTCGGTATATTGCTCCGGCCACTGTACATAATGCATTTTGTGGCCATGTTATAATAAATAAATATAATATATAATTTTTTATAAGTAAGGCTGAATAAAAGTCTTGTGCTACGTCACCAAACACACGTAAACAGGTAGTATAATATAGTGCTATAGGTTAAAATTTGTTATAATTCATACTGAAACGCAAGTGCTTCCCTGTGCCAGGCATGCCCCTGCAAAGTAGGGGCTATGTATACCCCACGCTTAC